ACTATTGCTTCCTTCCATGACTGCGCGCTAAAATCAAACTGGCCCTCTGTTGAATGCAGTCATTTCTGCTGAGCTAAGGCCGCTTTTACTCCGTCTTGCCGTCTGAGGTAACAGAAGAGGTAACAGAAGGGGATTGCTGTCCTTCCCCTCACCCTCAAAAAAAGCTCTTCATTGTTTCCTACCCGCCCCTGGCTAAATAGCACAGCCGAATCTGGGAGAGCAAAAACCATGTATGCTATATATTCGCAAATCCCGGTGTGAGTTTTTGCTTATCGGTAGTTACTTTCTGCAATGGTCAGATCTGAATGTACAGTGGCATCCTATTAGATAGGCCTTGGCAGAATTTTGCTTTCAAGACAATGGCCTCCACTTAACGATGGGAGATACTGAGAGGTTAATATACTGAGAGGTTAATATACAATATACTCTTTGGCTTTGCTTCTGTGGTGTGCCACAGGCTGAAAAATCATTGATTTATCTGTAAAGGATATTCTATCCTACAATTCCAGTACAGGATTTCTTTACCCTTTAAAGAACGAAGTAATTGTCAGGCAGCACTGCACTTTATGTACTGTACCATCACTCATCTTGGTTGGCTGGAAATTGCTGGAGGGAAAAATCTGGTATTTAATCTATAGCGCATTCTGTAGATTGGATTCTTGTATTTTCTATTTCATAAAAAAAAACACCAATCTAGGACTACATACAGTTTCCTCTTAATTCAGAAGTAGGGAATTTCAGATGTTGCTGATCCATAACTGGATCCTTCACGATTGGTCATGCTGGCCTGAAACTTTTGGAAGGTATAGTTCAACATCTAGAGCAGGATTTCCAAACCCTCCCCCCCCGACTGTGGACCGACACCAGTCCACAGCCCCCAATGCAAGGGTGGGATTCAAATTTTTTAACAACTGGTTCTGTGGGTGTGGCTTAGTTGGTGGGCGTGGCTTGGTGGTCGTGATTGGGTGGACATGGCTTGGTGGTCATGTTATTGGCTGGGCATGGCCAACTCAGTATCACTTACATTGAGGCACGCATCTCCTCTCCTGGCCTCATGACTGTGGGGATGCTGCAACAGTTGTAAGTGTGAAAAATGATCATAAGTCACTTTTTTCAGTGCCATTGTAACGTTGAATGGTCACTCCACAGAAGCAAAGTACCAGCAAAGGAGGAAAAAAAAAACTCCAGAGAAGTTCCAGAGACAGGAAGTCTAGTCCTGCCAAGAATGTAATAAGGGTTAATGGAGAGGCAGTTTCTGTAAGCAACACCAGAATGTTTCCTTCCTGCCTTCCTTACAGGATTAGGCCAGTAATTTCTTCTAACAACCAGTTCTCCGAACTGCTTAGAATGTTAGCAACTGGTTCTAGCGAATAGGTGCGAACTGGTAGAATCCCACTCCTGCCCCAATGTCCAGGTTACCTTCTGGCTGCAGAAAAACTCTCCCAGGAACAGCCTTTAACTGCAGAAAATTAGCCAGCAACAAGTCTGCGCAAACAAGTGAAGCCCCATCTGTGAGATGCAGGCAACATGCAAAACCACGCCCTCTCCAGTCCATGAAAAACCCTTTCTCCATGGAACCAGTCCAAGTCCCAAAAGGTTGGGGGCTGCTGATCTAGAAGTTTCAAACTTTATCTGTCATACCACAATTAGTAGACTAGGCCTTAATATAATTACCGTGTTTCTCACAAAATAAGGCTGGGCCTTATTTTTTTTTGACCCCTGAAAAACAGGCCGTCTTTTTGGGGGGAGACTTAATTCCCCCCACTTGCATCCTCGGGTGGGTGGGCGGCAACGGCTTGGATGTTGACTTCGGCATTGGTGGGGCACTTTCTATCAGGAGACCTTCCGCCACCATTGCTTTCCCTACTCCCTGTGCTACCGCAGCGTTTAGAGCAACCCCATGGTGTTTGGCACAGCCATGCGCGACCAACCAGGTTCCTCCCTACAACCGGAGCCTGGCGGAGACACACGGCTTCAGGTGCTCCTGTTGCTGCCTTCCCTTCGCCTTTGAAGGCAAAGCCAATTCTTTTAAAAATGATGCCCTACTACTGGTACAACAAACCCTCTTCTGCCCAAGAGGGCAGCCCAACTCTACATGGGGAGGCGAATCTCCCGGGGCCGCAGTGCAGGATCGGCCCACCCCAGAAGCGCCCAGCCGCCGTCCCTGCCTGGCGCTGGGCAGAACATAAAGAGCTTCGCCTAGGGCGCCCAGCGCAGCTGACAGGCGGGCCCTCCTGCCCGGCGGCGGAGCTCTTGTCAAGGCAGCAAGTGCCTCCCTGCCGGGCCCTTCACTCATCCCGCCAGGGCAGGAGAGGGCTTGTCGTACCAGTAGTACGGCGTTGTTTTTAAAAGAATTGGCTTTGCCTTCGAAGGCGAAGGGAAGGCGGCGACAGGAGTGCCTGAAGCCGAGTGTCTCCGCCGGGCTCCGGTTGCAAGGAGGAGCCTGGCTGGTCACGCGTGGCTGCGCCAAACTCCACGGCATTGCTCTAAACGGCGCGGCAGCACAGGGAGAAGGGAAAGCAATGGTGGCAGAAGGTCACCCGATATGAAGTGCCCCACCAACGCCGAAGTCAACGCGGGCAGCACCATATCTGGGTATGCAACAAAAGTACTTCCTAATGGCAAGCCCCCCCACCATTCCCCCCCCATTTTGCATGTTTAATATAGACCTTAATTTGGGGGGAGGGGTTTAATTTGATTTTATGCCCATAAAACATGCTGGGACTTCCTATTAGGGGAGGTCTTATTGTTGGAGAAACACGGTATTTCCTTGTTTTTGTCTTGATTCCAGTTTTAAGATTAGTCATACCAGTCAAGAGAAAGATGAAAATAACCTAGACTGGAATCATTGGCCTAGATGGCTAACCTTTTCGACACCAAGTATCCAAAGTGCAAGCACGCACCCCCAAAATGCAATGTGCTTGTGCCCCCTGCGTACCCTCATGCATGCATGCATAACCCCCACATACGTGCCCTGTGAATGCAACCCAGAGCATGTACCCCACCCCTTGTGACCCCCTGCATGTGCACCTTGCCACTGCGCATGCACACAAGACCCTACACATGCATTCCCCACACATGCGTGGCAGAGATCTGAAGACCAGCTGGCTGGCGGAAGGTGTGCACCTGCATGCACAGCGGAGCTGAGCTTGGCCAACAGTTTGTGGGCCCAGAGAGAGGGCTCTGAGTGCCACCTCTGGCACTCGTGCCAGAGTCACGGGCCGTCAGTCCTCAAGTCACAAGTCAGAAAACTTGTAAACTGATGACTGATTAGTCCAGTGTTTCTCAACCTTAGTAATTTTTAAGATATGGACTTCAACTCCCAGAATACCCCAAACAATACTTTTTTGAAGTTGCTGAGATTAAAAAAAAAAAACTAGACCAGACTATTAGAAACTTTGAATATGAACAGTGTACCAGGAGGAATCATTTAGAGAAGGAATTTTGTTCCTCTCTTAAGATTGAACAATTGACTATATTTATGTGCTTGTATATGGGATCTTATACAGAATTGGATACAGTAGTCCTTGGCTTACAACAATTCATTTAGTGACTGTTTAAAGTTATAATGGCACTGAAAAAAGTGACCTATGATCATTTTTCACCTTTGCGATTATTGCAACATCCCTGTGATCAAAATTGGCAGATGCTTGGCAACTGACTCATGACCTATGATGACGTGGGGCGTGGCACGACAGCAACACAGTCAGATAAGCAATAAGAGTCCCTTTATTATCTCCAACTTTGCCTCCAATGTCCAGGTTACCTTCTGGCTGAAGAAAAACTCTCCCAGGAACAGCCTTTGACTGCAGAAAATTAAGTCCAAAATATGAGCAACACAAAAGTCCAAACAAACCAAGATGAAGTAATTAGTTTGGCAGGGCAGAAACAAGGATCTCAGGCTTAAAGGCACAGCAAAACTCACACGGTTGGGAAGGTGCCAGGAACAGATAAGCCATGACAACACAGGATAAAATCACTTTGCTTCCAGCAGCCTGCACGCAGCCTGCCTTATCAACTGTCTTCCCAGCTGTGGCTAATGAAGGGAATCAGGGCCCTGTCTTCCCTCGTAAGCCATGCAACCCACGTTACTCTCTTCTCCGTTCCTCCCTGCATGCCCTAGGATGAAGAGTAGGTGGGCCTGGTTCTTCCTCTGAATTCCCTCTCCCTTGTTCTATCTCTCCCCTGCTCTGCCCAGCCAGACTTTGCCCTTCCCCAGCTTCCTCCAGTCAACGGAGCCACACTCCCACTCCCTGTCAGCTGTCCAGCTTCCCACTGGGATTCAGACTCCAACAGGCCAGGGCATGACATGACCGTTGCAGTGTCCCAAGGTCATGTGATCACCTTTTGCAATGTTCTGATAAGCAAAGTCAATGGGGAAGACAGATTCACTTAGCAACCATTTTACTAGCTTAGCCACAGTGATTCACTTAACCACTGTGATAAGGAAAGTAGTAAAATGGGGCAAAATTCACTGAACAAATGTCTCGTTTAGCAACATAAATTTTGGGCTCAATTGTGGTAAGTTGAGGACCATCTGTAATTGATCTTACCTCTACTACTAAATAGAGGTTGATTGTCACTTTCTGTTACCAAGTCAACAACATTCCAAAGTTCTATTCTAAATGAATTTTTTTGACTAGGAATAAAATAAATTGATATAGGGCCATAGAAAAAAGCATTCATACCTACATACATGTTCCATGCATACTTATATGTAAATGCATTTATGGCTTATTTTGATATTAATATACCACTTATAAGTAGGTGAAACATGTGGGTCATTGGTTTATTACAGAAGGGGCAACATCAGAAGTTCACTTTAATAAATTGTTCACAGTTAAATGCCTAATATCAGGAAGGGTCAGTGTGTACTTGTAAGCACTAAATTACATAACACTTATTTTCATGTATCTCTTAACTACAAAGCCAAATGTTAAAAAAGTAGACTAATAAATAAATGTTATTTAGAAATACAAAGGATGATACACACTTACTGGTTCTATATACAAAATATGGTCCCATTTTTTATTTGTTACATACCGGATTAGATCATAATATTCAGCATCCCTCTGCAACTACAGTTTTAACTCAAGACATGTTGATTCAAAAGAAGTTTCGGTATATGTATTTTAGGGCTTTATACTGATTTTAATTATATTAACGTTGGGCATGAAACTCAACAGATTGTTATAAATGCCTCCTTATATTCTGAAATTTGTATATCTGTTGGGATCAAGATCAAAGACAGCACCCACAAATTAAATAAAACTTGTCTGTTTTCCACTGATGCTAAGACTTCAAGTTGAAATGTGAATTCAGATGCCTCAGAAAATCCTCTCTGGATGTACGAGATGGCGGGAACACTTTCTGACAGAATTCACATATTCCTGACTGACTGAGTTCCGAGTCTTCAGAAGCAAGTGCCAGTAAGTCAGTATCTTGAGTGCAGTAAGATTTCCATGGAGGCTGTAAGAAGCAGGGGGAAAAAAGGAGTAAATGCTTTCTGCATAATAAGTGTTGTGTTCTCACTGACAATGGTTTAGTACTGATTAGTTTCCTTAAATATGTAGCTTTTACTAAATAATAAGTTTTGATTTTCTCTAAAACAATCCACATATTTTAAAAGATGCCATGGTTGAAACATTGGTCTAAAGTCTGAAGTATGTAATATATTTTATTTCTTTTAAATTTTAGAACTGATTACCATTAACTAGCAATTTGGTCAGCAGTTCTAGCATGATAAATATAGGCATTATATTATACTTATGTAAGTATAATGCTAAGGCACTGGTATTCACATTATGTAAGAATTTTGATCATCAGCACCTCATACTTTTAAAACAACCGAAATACATGAATATCAAACTCTTAAATAAAAAGTTCACTGATTATGGCACACAAGCTAGAATAATTTTGGTAAGCAAATATTCATTTAGTATTTCAAGACTGGGCTTTCTTTTTAAAGATAATATATATTTTGAATATGTGATTATGCAATAACAAAATGATAAGGGCACAAAGCCCAGGATATATTTCTAGAAGTACTTTGTGTTATTTTATTACGTAAGAACATGCCATTTGAATCTACATGTTTCCTTTGGTATTTAAATACAATATACAAAATTACATACATATCTACTGCTAACCATGTCCTCATGAATTTTGAAATACAGTAGTTAATTTAAAGGGGATGGAGAACAGAGAAGTAGCTACTGTTTCTCTTAGGACTTAATGCTTTGTCTAAACAATATTTAAGATTTGTCACAGGCCCTTTGCAGATTTATTTTGTACATCTTGTACTGTGGTCAGTCATCAATCTTTCCAGGCTAATTAGGTATAATTACATCAAGTTCTAACAAACACTACTTTTTGTTGGTGTAAATTGCTTTGGAAACCTGTCTAAGCATTGATGCGTGTTTTAAGTATCACTATGGAAGTGTGCTTTTAATTACTTATTTGCAACTCCACCTTCATTTAAACTGGCAGTTTTAATAACTGTAACAGGAAGCATTTCATGCTTTATTGGTAATATTTGATCATATATACAACTCTTCTCTTGAGAATTTTTATTTACTGGCCTGGTTAACACTTGACACTAAGTCACAATGTGATTTGTTTGGTTTTTGGGTAAGTATGATGTGTGAATTCACCCGTTATATCTTAGTATTCTGTACAGAGTAGGTCACTAAAGCTTGTTTAACAAACCATAATGAAAAACAAGCTGTATGAAACCTTCAATTGAGTTTTGTGTTACAACTTGATTTAACTTGCAGTTTTATTTACAAATAAGTTTTCATTGAATACAGTCAAACTTACTTTTAACTAGACATCTAGAATTCTCTTAAAATCTCCCCTTAACAACTTCACTTAACATTTAATGAAAACAACATTGCCCAAGAAAGCATTTCTTTGGATTAAATTTCCACTGTAGAAGAAATTAAGATATCTGGGTAGGTTTTATTTTGGGTTGCTGCTGATGGTGTCCTTTTTAAGTTATGTTGTTATGAATGTTTGCAATAATTTTAATATGGCAATTAATTAGTCGCCTTTTAATCATTAATGAAATATATTTTTTCATTTCCATAATTTCAACATGCAGATGTTTGAAATATTAAAAAAGACAATTAAAATTCAGTAACTACTGCTGCCACTTCATGTTAAATGGAAAAACTTTAATGTGTTTATTTCAGTTGCAAACAAGAATCCAAAGAGAATTAACGATAAACAAAGGTGACCTTAGCTTGCAGCCCATTGGTTAAAATAAACGAATTAGCATTTTAATTGCTGTACCCTACTTTATGCATGCTCCTTGCTAACGTAGCTTTTAGTTAGAGAAACTGAATGGCCTCCTGAATGGCTCATGCAGACGGTTAAACACCATGTATTTGTATAAGTATTGGGATATGTATTTCTAAAAGGTATACATCTAAGCATATTGTAAAGTACTTTACTTAATAGGTGTGGCACGCCCTTTACATTTGCTTTTCTCAAAATAGGGAGCAATCCATTATGAATTAAAGACTCCTAAATGAGCCACAGTACAGGGAAGCACAACATTCCTAACTGTTCAATTCAGTCTACATTCCTGTTTTCATTATTACAGTTTTCAATCCAGGTGTTTAAGAAACTGCAATACACTAAGAAAGCAGACTCAATTTTTTATATTTAGTCTGTAAGGAAGAGCTAAATTTATTACATCAACTGAGAGCCACAGTTCTAACGACTTATGGTTGCCAATTACGCTGCATTTAAGTTTCCCCTCCTCATCTTTACTTGTTAACACATGTACTAAATACATGACAGAAATTCTTGTCTGCTGAAGAAGAAAAAAAAGGATGGGGGAATCAAGTGTGTAAATCAGCAATATTAGGATGTCAGCAAGGTTAATCCTGTATACAAGGATCCAAACATTTTAAATGCATTTTCATACTGTCTACGTTTACTCTGCAGGCAAGATAATGAGGTGCCTCAAGCTATCTTCAGCTGACTCAGGGAGTGAATCTATCTACTGTTATCAGGAGGGTACAGCCTCACAGTCTCATTGAATGCATCTCAAATCAGGCCAACTATTTGTCGTTAAAGTGAAGGACCCTGGACTTCCGGTTTGAAGGGCTTTGGCGACAGACAGAAATCCGCAATCGAGCGCGGTTTCTGTCTGGGCTCGCGGCTGGAGCGCCCCGAGCCGGCTGGTTTCGGGGCTAAGCCACACCATAGAGGTGGTGAAGAGGGGGGAGACCACCAGTAGGGTTGAGGAGAGCCGCATCTCTCCTCCTCAGCTGGCCATTACTCCCTTTCCCGAAGGCGGTTGCAGCGGTGGTCAGAAATGGCCCCCACAAAGGAGAACTTGACTGGAAAAGAATGTGCAGGAAGAAGATAAGAAGTGAAAGTTTTGGCTGACCAAGTTAAATTGTAAAAGCAACAACCAAGGTACCCTGGAATTTAAACTTACAAAAAATAACATCGCTCCCAAAGAAGAGTTGGAAGCAGCAAAGGAAAGTGAAAAAGGAAAGGTTTGGGGTTTTTTTCCTTCTCTCTCCTTCCCTATACTGACAACTAAGAGACTTAAATAAGAAATCAGAAAAATCCGCTTTGACATCAATAGGCAATTAAGCTGAAAATAAAACAAAATGCCAAAGGGATAATAAAGATTTCTGGACATTAAAATTTTTCTTTTTCATAAGCAGGAAGGGAGAGAAAAAGAATAAGGGCAGGATCTGGAAGAGGGAGGAGACTGCCTGGAATTAAAAAGAATCTACAGTAAAACTTCAACAAGACTTCTAAAAGATACATTTTAACTGAAACTTTGCAACTAAATAGTAACCCCAGGAAGAGAAAGTGAAAAAAAAGAGCAAAAAAGAAACAGCTTGTGTGTATTTGGATTATTTGGCGATCTTTGGATTCTTGGTTATTATATTTGAATGACTAAAATCAATCGGGTGGTTGTTTAAAAATTTATACAATGGCATCACTTCTGGATGAATTGAAAATGGAACTTAAAAAGTACAAAGAAGATGCACAAGAAGGGAAGGGTTCTTTTGGCTTCGTTTTTCAATTCTTAGAAATGGAGATTTGGAACTATGAGAAACAACAAGAAACGACTGCAAAACAAGAAGACTGGCACAAAGAAGAAGCCATTTTTAATGAACAAGCAATTTTATGTGGGGAAGAGAAAGGAAACGGGGGGAATGGAGAATTTAAGACTTAAAAAATACAACCAAAGAAAAGAAAAATAATTTGAAAAATAAGTATAATACTGGAAAGCAACAGAAAAGGGGAATACAGAAGAGAGAAATAGAGGTAGAGAGACAAGGGGGTAAAAAGGGGAGAGAAGAAGAAGAGAGGGAAGAAGGAAAGGGAAAGAAGTTACAAAGGACCGGAACAAGATATAGAGAAACAGGACCTATTTAGAGATAATGGGTGAAAATCTAACTGAAAAAGGGATTCTGTAAAGGTACATAAGATTGTATTGTTATATTAGTAATAGAAATAACTTTAGAAAATTGGAAACAACATATGATTAAAATGAGGGATAAAATAGTTAGTGTAATTTAGTGAAATGTTTGTGAATAAAATAAGTGAAATAAAATAAATGAGAAAATTGAATTAGGAAGGAATGGGAACATTTTAATTAGTTAATGTTTTATAAAATATAAGTGAAGGGAGAATTAACTATGGAAAGCTTATAATTGTTCCCATAGAAGTATGATATTTAATTGAAAAGTAATGTTAAAGATGTTAAGACTTTAATGAATATTAATATTAATTATAGAATTGAATTGGAATGGAATGTTGTTTTAATTATATACATTTATAATTTTTTCTTTTTTTAAGAATACAGTGTGTATTTTAAGAATGTACCAAGCAGAATCCGAATAGAAGTTATGTATTATATTGAATGTTACAACTTTAGGGAAAAGATATAAAGGCGTCATACTCCAATCAGTAACTACAGGAGAAATTTTGCTTAATGAGAAAAGATAATAGATAATTGAAACAGGACAGACAAAAAATATAAATACAATAATTTGAATTGAGATGAGATAATTAAAGTAAAATCGAGAAAATTAAAAGAGGGGTAAAGCTAGGCAGAAAATGTAAAATAGTAATAAGATATGGAATAGAATATAAAAATGAGCATGAACCTGAATTTATGTCTGTACGAAGAAATGTAACTCGGGATTACGCTACTTTCAAAAAAGGTGTTTTATTTGTATTTTTTTTCTCTTTGTGAAAACTGAAATAAAATTTACAAAAAAAAAAAAAAAAAAAGAAAAGTGAAGGCCCCTGCCTTCACTTTAATGCCAGCTTGCCAGAGCCATGTTAGCATGCTGAAGGAATTGGGGACATTTTTTTTTTTTTTTAGCAAAACAACTTTCACATTTACCGCTGTTGCTAAAAAGGACAAATGCATTTAAGCTTCTTTTCCGGCCTATAATTGAGCAGTGATTTTGATCAGTTACAAACAA